CAGCCCCTCCAGAAGTTCCCTAACTTGGTCCTCCCTGACCTTAGGCCTGGCAGAGTCTCTCCTGAGTCCGTCCTGAATCCCAATGGGGGAAATGTCCCGTACCCTGCTCAGAAAAATGGAGGCAAAAAATTTGTTAAAAGGTCTACTTTTTCACCTGGTGCAACCATCAGATTGCCACGCGTATCCTGCAGGGGCCCCACGTTGCCTGGTGCCTTCTTTTTACTCCATATGTATTTAAAAAGGACTTTTCTGTCCTGCTCACTTTACTCCTGTGAACAGGTCTACCAACATTAATGGAGCTATGTGAATATGTGGGCAAAAAGTGGAGCTTGCACACAAACAACTTATGAGATAAGGAAGGGTATGAGCTTGAAACACATTAGTTTCCTAGAGGCAACTGCCCAGCCTTAACCCATAGTACGTATACGGTACCTTTATCTTACCCCCCAGTGAAAGTGGAGTAAGGTACCAGTAACTCAGCCCTGCTCTGCCCAGCTTCCCAAACACACTTCACACACACAGATTGGGTCGGGCCACTCCTTTTTTGAAGCAAGGCTACTAAAGGAGGCTGCAGTAGTGCCCTACCCCAGGTGGTAGACTAAGTGTTAGAGCACTTGCCCAGAAAGTTGGACATGCAAATTCAGTGCTCTCCTCAACCTCTCCAGCAACAGCTGGCTATGAGCTAGTCTCCGGTGTGGGCGATTTCCACCTCAGCTGCCGCTCCACTGTATAGTCATGAATGCAAGACTCATGGGGCCGGGAAGCGGGAGTAAGCAAGAAGGACCCACAGCACAGTGGTTAGGGCACTTACATGGGAGGGGGAAGTCTTGGGTCTTGGTCCCTGCTCCCAGGAACGCTTATGCATTTTACATTGAGCAGGCATTGGATAAAAATCAGAAGTAATCCCAAGGGATGGTCTCCCCATAATGCCTGTTGCTCAAATTGCCTTTCACTGCACAGGGCAGAGCTCAGCCGGATGTCGAACAATCCTGCTCTGGCCCCTTGGGATCGACAAAGTGACCTGATTTTTCCATTTCTAAACTAGCGCACAGGGCTTTTATTTTTACCCACATCTGCTTCTATGATTTCATTCCATGGTTTTGCTGAATATGATGGTGAAGCAGAATAATTGCAAGTCAATTAATTAGGATCTACAGCCAAGCAACAAGAAACCAGAGAATAGACTGAAAGCCCTACTGCTGTGCCTATCTGCTGCCTGAGGAGAAAATTTGCCCTGGAATAACTAGAGTTTCTCTCCCTCACTGCTCCATTTATTTCTATTAAAGAATTTGCTCTGGAGCAGTGAGGCAACTCAATTATTAGTAGAGTTCCAGGTGACCCTAATAGCAAGCGACATCCCCCTAGACTCCACTGTCAACCTTGTACCCTCTTCATCTGTGCTGGGTCTGCCAGGATGCAGTTCAGTCATTACAAATGACAGGAAGGGACCAGATTTCTGCTAACTACAACATGCACAGAATGGATCCAATAAAGAAAATGCAGAACAGGCATTACCATTTCAGGTCAGAGCAATGGTCCAGATAGCCTGGTAACCAGTGTCAGTGAATGGCTAGCACTAGATGTTTTACACAGGGGTGCGTGAGTCCCCATCATTTCACACCGGAGGCCTCTGTCCTGAAGTTTCTAATACCAATAAATGCTTCTTGTGAAGGACGCAAGCAAGCAAGCCACCATGCAAGGAAACTTGTGGTATGGGTAAAACCTATACTATAGGAACAACTGTCCCACCTAGAAGAAAGATGTCCTCTGGTTTAAGACAGGTGTGCTCAAGGATGCAGCAGCTCTCAGGATAATGAATCGGGCTGAGTGGATGCAACAAGGTGCTGCATCACAGGGCAGCTGAAGTGCCCCACTGGGGCTATCCTATACCCATTCCCCAACTCCAGTTCATAGAATCACAGAAATGTAGGGCTGGC